ATTGTGGCAGGCAGGCCGGCCTTGGCCACACAGGCATCAAATTCTTGGAAGGCAGGCTCTCACTCAGTTTTATATTGGGCCCTGAATGGGGCTGTAGCAGACCTGTGCTCTTTTTCAGCTACAGGACTGGTGGAGAGGCTGGGCCACAAAAGGACCCCATCTGCACTTGTGTCTGTCCATAGCGGTACTGTCCTACAAAGGGCTGCTCACCTCCTGACCATACCGGTGCCAGGGTGGGAGCAGTGTGTTTGGCAGCATGTGGGGCTGACTCCAGCCCCAGCTGGCTTTAGCACAGCTCTTTAGCACACACTCCAAGCACTGCATTTGGAAAGGGTTTGGATGAAGCAGCTGTTAAATGAAGAAGGAAGAGTTTGAGCCTTAGCATCCCTGCTGGTTTTGAAGACAGATGTGGTGTGGGTGGAGACAGAAGTTCTTGAAAAGTAAGACAGCTTCTTTTTTCAGCCTAGTAAGAGGAACCTGGGCTGTCCTAATTGATAAATCTAGTGAAAGAGACGAAAATAATAATGATAATTGCTGAATTAGCCAAAAACAAGAAACAGTTGTCTTTACAGAAAAGTGTGAGTGATGAAAGCCTATATGAGATATTAAACCTTGGATATTATTTATCAAAAGAGCAAAAGGAATCCTTTCTTAAAATGTTTATCGTTCTGTTTCTGATAGCCTGTTTCTGATATCTTCATGTTCCTCAAAGCCTTTTATGCTCACTGCTGTAATATCTACTGCTAAGACAGACTTGAGAACCAGAGGTAGCCTTACTTCCAGCCAGTTCCTTTGGTTGTGATTTCAACAGATGTTTTTGACCATTTTATCTTCTGAGATCTCTGTTTAATTTTTATTCAGTCTAAATGCTCCTTTTTATTTGTATTGTGATGGTTGTTGGGAGTGGGATATGCCACACACATGGCCCCCAGTGCCAGCCACATAAAGCATCAAATAGTGACTGCAGAATAGGAGATGGGTGTTGGGCACATGGCAGCCGTGTGCTGGCAGCGGGCAGGAGCACTAAGGGACCCGGGGCACAGCCTTGGTTCATTACATTAGGCAGCTGGTTTTGTTTGGTAAGGGCAGTGGTTGTGCTGCAAATTACATCAAGAACGAAATCCATATCTTGTCTATGGTTATCTGCCACTTCCACAGGCTGGAATGCAAGCTATGTATATAGGGTCAGCTTTGCTTTAGTTAGGTCTTTACTGTGTTGCAAAGAGGAAGGGGAAACTATGCACCAGTGAATGCCTGTGTTGGCGTCCAGTGTCACCAGCTATCATTGTAAGTCACCAGCTTGTGCTTAAGTATCTTTCAGTGATCTGTTTCGGTGAAAAGACTTTCCAAGAGAAACAAGGGAAAATCCCTGGCTCAGACCCACCAACTCTTGTAAGGCCTTTTGCTCTTGAGTGGTGGTTAAAAGATCACCCTTTCAGGTCAAACCACTAACTGCTTTGAAGCTTGCTTTCTCATCTTCTTTAGGTTTATCATCTACATTCTCTGTCTAATGTGGGAAAACATAGCTGTGATCTAATTTATGTTGGCCCATGTGACCAAAGAGAGAAGAAAATAATAGTCCTCTCTATCTGTAAGAAGTTCCATCTGCTCATTTCAAAACTGGATTGCCGGCTCTATGTCATGTCAAACAGAAAATGACCTTAATGCAGGCACCCTGCGTAGACAGCCGGGCATGCCTCACGAGGCTGCTCAAGGCTGGCTCCAGCTCAGCACAGACTGCGACATGACTGCTGCCACCACGGCCAGGGGTCTTCCAGGAGCTCTCTCCTGGCGGAATCATAGGGTGGCAGGGTTGCTTTTCTTGCTGCTCTGGCTTTTTTCCTGCCCTCTCAGTTGAAATGGAAGAAGGGCCCAGGGCAGAAGAAATATGGTTTTCAAGATGTACCACTGAGACCTGATGCTGACCTGGCCTGTGATCATGGGATTTGTCTTGATCTTTCTCTCCTTCAGCTCATCTTGTTGTTCAGGCAAAATCCCAGCAATATAGATGTGTTTTGCTATGTGGAGCCTTCTTTCTCCTTTCCAGATGTGTTATTTCTTCCTTGTCTCTGTGTTAACTGCATTCACAAACAGGCTTCATTTTGTAACTGGGAAACGTATCATTTTCAGAGTACGATCGAATCCTGCAGAAGTAGTACATGGCTGAGGAGAATTCAACTTATATCTGCCATGTGTTTGGGCACATGTGGGTCAAAAGATGCTTTAAGTGTATGTGGTACTGACGTATTCTGTCTCTTTCTCTTCTATTTTACTAATGGTTCAGATCCTGGATGAGGTTGAAAGGAGAAGGGGAATATCTGCTGCCTTGGTTTATCCATTTATGAGGAGTCTCATGGAATCTCCTTTTCCTGCACCTGGGAAGACAATCAAAGTCAAAACCTTCCTGCCTGGAGCTGGAAACGAGGTAAAAAGCAACTGCAAACATTATAAGTCAAAGCCTCCCCCCTCACCACTCCAATGTCAAACAGACAAAGAAAAACAGGAGGAGCCATACGGATACTGCAAGGCATGAGAGGTGGCACACCCTCCAAATGAGCAGCGCAGGAGCGGCACCAGTGTTGATATGCTAATGCTAGTTCCCATTGATGATTATAAGCCAATTTATTGTTATGTATTTGTTATTTTACATTTATTAATAAGTTGTGTTTAAGAAAAAAACCACAAACAACACAAATGTCTAGTATGCCTGGCTCGTGCAGTTAACAGAACTACAGTGTTGCTGGGCTTTATCACAGAGATAACAAGGAAACGTAGGTTTCCCATGCCAAGCAGTTCAGCAGCTGGTTGTTGTTGCAAACTTCATTACTGCTGGTTCTGGCCTTGGTAGAAGGAGTAACCGGCAGCATTTAAATGTCTCTTTTTGGCAATAAATACCCTTTAACTGGCCCTGAAAGAAATCGTCTATGTTGGGAAAAGCATGTCATATAAAAGTTTGTGTGTGCGTGCACACATATAATAGATTTCATTTCTGTTTATTACTGACTCAAGTAGCTCGAAGCCTGGCATTATACAACATAGGCCTTACTGGAAAATGGCAATATTGGTGCCTTGCTTTAAAAGTTTTTTGCAAATTGAGGCTTGCTAGCCATTCACCGTGTCAAGTTCTGTTCTCTGCATGTCTTTATGTAAGTATACAGTAGCTCCACTCAGATGGGCAAGCACATAGAGGAAACACGTTACTGCAGATAGGAATAGAATTTGGCCCAGTTAGTGAAAGCAGGGGAAAAAAAAATCCCCTCTAGGGTTATTTTATACTCCTGAGGGTTAGTTTTACAGTGCTATTACTATTTTTACATTGAATCGTATTTTCTCCAAGTGTAATGCCACTGACTTCAATGGAGTGGGCCTGTAATGTCACTTGGTATGAAATGTAAAGAGTTCCTTGTATAAGTGACTTATAAGGCATGTTTAAGTCACAAGCATTTTCTACCGGAGAAGGAAAGGAAAATTAAAAGGCTGATTGCCATAATGTTTTAGGATCTGATAATGCTTTTTTGATGTGACTATATCAGGGAACCATGGATCGGCAACTTCTCTGTCCTCTGCTCAAGCTTCTGAACTCTTCCAGAGAAAAACATTGAGATAATTCCAAACAAACAAACAACTCTCTTCTGACTGAGCTTTGCTCTCTGTTATGCTAGTACAAACTCGTTATTTAAATGGAATGCACTCGCTTAATTAGGAACAGAATCTTGCCCTTCCATTGTGGCTCCTCTGGCTTAAACAAAGATGACGATTAATTGGGAAGCAGACAGTGTATTTCTTTGCAATGAGCAGACTGAAGCAGAAAGCTTTGCCAGGCAACAGAAAACATCCGTGGCATTTGTGAAAGCTGCCGTAACTTGCACTGCATCCTACCCTGCAGCAAGATTTTAGTGTTGTAAGTTTTGCAGCAAAACCAGCTCCTTATGATTTGGCACATAAACATGATTTGAGCTTGCAATCCCAATGCTAAGGAGTGGAAGTGGGCACCTCTGCTGAGGATGAGAAAGGGGCAGGCAGGCAGCATTTCCCAAGGTGTTCATGGTACACCAGCACTCCACAGATTGATTGTTACTGCTGTTTGAGGCAACAGCTGAGTGATGGGTGTATAACACTCTGGCACCATAACGTTACTGTGTTTCAGGCTTTAAAAAAAAATCAGATCTGTACACAAATACTGTTCTAACAATAACTTCCTTTTCACAGTCCTGTGTTACCGATCACAAACAATATTACAACTCAACTGCTATGAACTGGTTTTGTTTCCAGCATCTTGTGGTCTTGCTGCTGCTGATATCCTTAAAACAGTGTGTTTGTGAGGAATTTTGTAAGGGCTACTCAAGTTTAAACCCAATACAGTATGCTCGTGGAATGTGGTGTCATGTGCATGAAAACATAAAAGTGGTCTGAAGCAATAAAGTGACGGTGATTTTTGGACATATGGAAAGAAGGAGATGTATATATGTTCCTCTTAATACGTCTTCGGAGATTTCAACACAGATTCAAGTTGGCCAACTTTTCCCTTTTCCCTTCTGTTTCCTCAAATTCCTCGGTAGTTCATCATTTGCTGTCTTGCACTTCATATTTTTCTTCCTCTGTTACTCTCTTCTTCATGTTATTTTTCCCTCTTCTTTTTCTGTCCTCCACCTTCAAGTTCCACACCTGAGCATGTCATTTGCAGAGTAAAAGGAAGATATAATAAAGGAATCAAGCAAAAGGCATTTGAGAAAAGGAAGGAGAGGGCCTGAGGTCATGGATGAAGTTTGAAAATTAGACTTTAAAGGGATGTCACAAGTCACCATCTAAGACCTTTTCCTGACTCCCCAGTTAAGTATATATATATGTACATATCTTTATGACAAAAAAGTTTTAAACATTATGTATTGAATTATGCATCACAGAAAAATGAAAATGAAGTAAATTGGGTTTAATTTTTGCCCAGCCTTTAGGTTCAGTCTCTTGGTCCCATCTAGACGTGGATTTGAATTGCTAGCCAAGTTTCTAACCAAATTTACCTTGTCTTTATGGCTGTTTTAACCCTGTAAGCTTCCAGATCCAATGTTTCCGGTTTGTGACTTGCTTCATGCTGTTGCTCAGCCAAACCCTACGTCTCTGACAGGGTGTTTAGAAAGCAGATGCTTCCCTCGGAAATGGCAGCAGATTTAATGTGCACAACTGTATTCTGGGAAGAAGAGTGACCTGATAGTGAATTGTGTAATATACCTTTTCTCTGGAGTGCTGGGCCTCCAGCCTCAGTTTGCAAAAGAGGACAGGGGTCATTCTTCGTGTCCCTCAACAGAAAAGCACGGAGTGGTGCTGGAGGGCCCGAGCTGGGGTGCTGGGCACCTCCGGTGCTGTCACTCCTGACTAGTGATGCTGACTGATGTTTGTTGGATGTATTCAGGTCATTGAGCTGCGGCGGCCGATGGACTCACGCCTGGAACATGTGGACTTTGAATGCCTTTTCAAGTGCCTCAGTGTTCGACAGATCATCAGGATCTTTGCTTCTCTCCTGTTGGAGCGGCGTGTGATTTTTGTAGCAGATAAGCTCAGGTAAGTGGCAAAGGGACCTGAACCACATGTTGTTCAGGTCAGTACTATCTCCTGATGCAAAAAGCTTTATGAAATGTCCAGAGCGGTTGTCAGATTGTGAGGACTCAGTATCTTCTCAGTATAAGATTTAAATAATCTTTGCATCAATAGAAGTTATTTGCATCAGGTGGGACATGCATTCACTAGCTGTCACTAGCTACGAGCCATTTGTTCTGTCACATCTTCCTGTCTGTGAAATGGGGATACTGATACTCACCTGCTTTGTAGTCAGCAAATGTTTACACAGTGTTTTAAAGCAAGATAGTCTTGGCAATATTTCACTTCAGGTTTGGGAACAGAGTACTCATAAACAGCAGCAGCAATCGTCTCCGAGGTGCTTCACCTTGTGTCCGTGCAGTGCAGCCAGGCTGGGAAGTGGGTGGGGTGCTGAGAGTTCACCTGGTTTACTCCATGCCGTACAGACAGTTTGTAATGGGGCTAGGTTTCAAATCCTGCTCTACCAAACCCACCCAGTGGGAGTGTTAATAATGCTGTTACAGCCCATCCCAACTCGTTAGGATTTTTTCCTGGTGTTCACATGACCTGAAAACTTCCTTTCTGAAGCTCCATCTTGGGCTCCTTGCTAGATCCTTTCAACATACCTCCTACTTCCCTGCCCTTTGACTGCAATCTCCTTTCCTTGGCTCCCCAAGGTGTAAGGAGGGAGAGTGACAGGTCACAACTCCACATGGCCTTTACCAAGGATGCAGGAGCTCTCTCTAGGCTGCACCCCTGCCCCTCAGCAAAGAATCATCCCTTTTTTAGATGCTTGTGTAATACATATAGGAAAGTGTGGACATTATAAAGAAGATGTTCTTTGCTCTGGCATGGTAAATAATAGAAGATGGCAAATGAAAATAAAGAACATAATTTATTAGACTCAGGAACATCCAGTGTCTTTTAAAAGGACACAAAAGACTGTATGGGTGGTTAAAAACACAGATGGATCTACCCAAACAAACTCTGTTAAACACTTTATCAGCCCCGACTGTCTCTGAATGACCGCCAGAAATAATAGCTGCACTTATTGGCCGCCAGTGTATATAATAGCAAAAATACTTTGCATAGTAAAAGCTTTACAACCTTCAAGGGAGAATTTCTTAAAGCTGCAGACCCTTCTCAGGTTATAATATTAGTTCCTTAGCAGTCTTTTTTGTTGTCTAGAACAACAAGAACATTTTATTTCATCCCTTCCCCTGTCAGTAACCCTTAGTTTGAATGACCATTTGGGATGACTTAATTTCACATAAATTCCTGGTGAGAATTGTGCAGCTAGTCCAGGGTTTCTGTAGTACTTTGGTAGATACGTGAGTCACACCATGAATACTGGGGCAGGTGGCTTTTGAAAATACTGCTGGTGTGTTCCTTCTGACTCTTTTTCTTCAGCATGCTTAATTACATCGTTCTGCCTGTTTCTATATTACTGTTCGTTCAGGAGAATTAGTGGGACCCACAAGTCTGACTGTAACTCAGAATGACACAGGTCTGCATTCCTTCAAATGGCACAACGATTTGAGTGGAAAATCACAGAAATGGTACAGAGAGAATGAGGGCTGGGCTGCACTGCTGACAACTGTTTCTCTGCTTCTGAGGTCCCAGTTACTCCTTTGTAATGTCCTGATTTGGCAAAGTACCCCGAGCCTCCATCCATTGACCACGGGGAGGGCTCTGCAGGATGGCTTGCTGCAGGAGACATCCTCAGCCGTGAGGGCTGGGACAGAAAGCAGCTGTTCCCTGGAGCATTTCTCTGGGACAGCTGGCCTAGCCAATGTCATATAGTGCTCTGGGCACTGTTCAGAGAAAGGAAGCAGCAATTAAACCTACTTTAAGGCAGCTTGGCTTAGAAAACAGACATCAATGCCAAGGGCTCATGGTAACGCAGGATTTCATCAGGCAACCGGGGTTTTATACACATTGCAAGCCTGACTGGAAGCTAACAGCTCAGCCTGTGCAATTACCTTTCTCCTTGTAGCTGCCTAGTCCTACAGGCCTCAGAGCAAAGGAGGAGACAGTCCTGCTTACGGACCTAATGCTGCTGCTGTCCCTTTCGGTGCACAGAAATAAAGCACCAAGTCCAACAGGAACCAGAAATGGTAAAGATCCCTTTTGGTAAACACATATCCAAACACTGTGCTCTCCTGCAAAAACCATTCTCCTGCAAACTTGTTTCTGTTGTGAGAGGGGGCCACCCTGTTAGGGGCCGTTAGCAGGTACTTTGAGAAAGGAGGGGATTCCGATGGATCCAAGAAGCTTATGAGGTTTTGTAGTTGCTCCTGTAAAAAGGGACAGAACCTGTCTTACAAAAAGGTTCATATACGTGTACTTTATTATATCTGCATGTACCCTTTATTATATACATATACTTTGTTTTGTTTAAGAAGAGTATGACAAAATCTGATGTGGTAGATAAGGCCCTGGCTTGTGAATCCTGACCTCTCCTTCTGAACCCGCTGACCTGCTGCATGACACCTGCTGGAAACGCAGCTCCTCTTTCTTATCTTTCTTATCCGGCCTGTCTGGGATCTTACACACCCCAGGACAGAGACTGCTTCTTGCTCGGTGGTGCATGCAGCTCCACATGATACAGTGCGGCCCCTCTCAGCACCGGGATCTAGGAGGTACTGTAAAATAGAAGCTAATAATGAGTCCTTTGGCAAAGCCCTGGAGAAAGTGACAGTGGATATAAATGCAATACTTACTGAGGTTTTCATGGTTTAAATGGGGATGAAGTCTAAAATGAAACACTCTGGCTTTGAGCTAATAATGTTCTGTCTTGGAATCTTTGCCTTGTCTGATGTGAATTTTGTTTATGGGCATCACGGCTGAAACCGAAGGAGTTTACCAGTAATGTGGAAAAAAAAAAAAAAAAGAAGTGAAATATCTTACAGGTCCGGTCTGTGGGCCCAAAGAACGAGAGCAGGAAATTAAAAAGATTTTACAAGGATTTGATTTTTGCATGTACCCAAAAAAAGCTTAGAAATAAATGATGTTGAGGTTTAGGCTTCAAACGATGAGATGCAGTGGGCTTTTGTGGCTGCTGGTTTTACAGGTCTCCAAGCAATAAATGATTTCACACGTTATACAAGTTTGGGAAAGTTGTGCTTAGTGAAGTGAGATTCATTCAATAAATTGTTATTTATTGTTTTTATAGTGCCCAGAATGTGAAAATTTATAGTCCTTGATCTTCAACACAGAAAGTGATGCTACCAGCAATGAGGAAACAATAGTAAAGTTTTGAATGACAGGACTGTGAGGTTGCTTTGTTTAGTTATCTGCAGTTCTGGGGGTTTTTTCCCCAATAAGTTGCTTAATTTTTTTTTTTTTTTTAAATTGGGTGAATAACTCCCTGCAGCTATTTGCTCACCTTCAAAAATGAATTTGAATCTGCCAGTGACCTTACAGTATTTTGCTTTCCATGAACAGTCATGAACACAACAGAGATAAAGATAACAATAGAGAAATTTGGAAGAATAATAACAACTTACAAAGAAGTAACTTAAAGCTCCCATTCCTTAAGTATCTGCTGAAAGCACAACTGAGATGGTATATCTCATCCCAGTTCAATCCCCGTCCCCGCTGGGAGCCCCTGTTGATGTTCCCAGCATTCTGCCTGTGCTCCCCAACTCTGGAACAATCCAGCTGCCAGGGCAGAGCCGCTCTAGCGCAGTTTAAAAGACCGGGCAGCAGACGCGAAGTCAGTGGGTTCTGGGGCTTGGGGAGCATTGGTGCTGCTGCAGGCACAGAGGTAGCAACAGGAAATAAATAGAAAGCAAACACTGGAAGAAAAAATATTTCTCTGCTTGTTTTAGTTTTATGCTGGGGAAACAAATTTGTGGACATGTTTGCTTAGGAGGTGATGTGTCCATGCTTGGGCGTCTCTTTGCCTTTCCCCTGAATGTTTGGAGAGGGGGAAAGGAAGGGCCTTGGGCGTCTCAGTGTCCCTTTGTTATAACCCCATTTTTTATAAATAAAACCCACTCTTGCTGTAATCCACTATATTGTGGAGGACTCTGAGCATATTTTGTTTACATTTCACATGTGGGTCCAGTCCAATGCCAGCTGGAGTCAGTGTCTGGATGAGCTGTGGATCTAAATCCAAGAATATTCCTTTCAGTGGCCTTTCTGAAGCTTTAGGAGCTGTGAAAGGCTTCTGTAGAGTCCTTGCTCTTGTAAAAGGCACAATAACTTCTCGTTGTTATGAATTTTGTTTTTATGAGAGATATTTCTGCTGCTGCTTAGTGAAGCAGGAGCATGGGCCTCAAGAAGAAAATCGCTGTTGACAGCAATGAGTTTTATGCTCCTAAATCATATGGGTAAACTGGGAAGCGTACCCTGAGGCGCAGGTGAGCGAGGCGTCTCTCAAGTACCGGTGCCAGCTCAGGAAGTCCCCCTCCTGTTCCCCCTGCTCCTGCCCTCACCCAGGGGGCTGTGCCAGCCCAGCCGCAGCAGGCATTACTCCTGTTGCAGAGTTTCTCCAAACCAGAGGGACCCCTTGGCCTGGTGACACCAGGAGCTCCTCTGCAGGGCCAGGGGCAGAGCAGGGTGCTGGGGCTGGGGGTGGGCAGCAGCACTGGGACGGGTGCACTTCAGGTGCTGTTGCCACTGAAAGGGGTCTATCGTGCACCAGCCTTAGGTGTCAACCAGCTGAATTTACATTCATGAGATACTGTCAATTTGTGAATAAAAGCACGAGTTTTTACCTAAATGCAAGAGGGGAGATCTGTGGAAATGAGGCTGAGGAAGTGTTGGATGACAGTGAGCTTCAGTGCAGCTAAAGCTCCGGCGCATCAGTGTCTTCCTCCCTTAGGGATGGCCACAGGTTATTTTGTCTTCCCAAGGAGGGTTATTTTCTGTCCATGTTTCTCTCTCCTCTGCCAGCACACATCCCCTGGACCAGCACAGTCCAGGAGTCTGTCACCTGGTGTGCTGCAACCCCCTGAAACCCTCCACTGCGGTGCTTG